ATTGAGGTAGTGGAACTAACACCTGACCATTGAGGTAGTGGAACTAACACCTGACCTTTGAGGTAGTGGAACTAACACCTGACCATTGAGGTAGAGGAACTAACACCTGACCATTGAGGCAGTGGAACTAACACCTGACCATTGAGGTAGTGGAACTAACACCTGACCTTTGAGGTAGTGGAACTAACACCTGACCATTGAGGTAGAGGAACTAACACCTGACCATTGAGGCAGTGGAACTAACACCTGACCATTGAGGTAGTGGAACTAACACCTGACCATCGAGGCAGTGTAACTAACACCTGACCATTGAGGTAGTGGAACTAACACCTGACCTTTGAGGTAGTGGAACTAACACCTGACCATTGAGGTAGAGGAACTAACACCTGACCATTGAGGTAGTGGAACTAACACCTGACCATTGAGGTAGTGGAACTAAAAGTGACCATTAAGTTGTGGAACTAACACCAGATCTTTGAGGAGGTGAAACTAACAGGTGACCACGTGAAGCAGTAGAACAAACGTGTGACCCCTAGGAACTAACAATGGACCCAGTATCCACCCGACGGGCTCTGGTGTGGGTGCCCTGTTAGAAAAAGGCTAGCATTAAACAACATTTCTACACACAATCTCAAACTGGTATTTTCACCGAGATCTTGGATTTATGTAAAGTGTCTGGTTGCCTGCTTACATTGACAAAGTTCTGACCGCCAACAGACTGGAGACCTCATCTGCATATCTATAAAGAGCGTGATCAGTAGAGTCAACAAGCCAGACGTTCTGTCATTGAGGCACGGACCCTGGCTCAGTGTCGACTGTGTGCTGTCGTCATTAAGTCGGCCAAGCGGTGAATGGAGGGGCATTCATAACCCGTGGTGAGATTACAAATGTGTTGGTTGGGAGGGGGGAAAAGGAGGGAGGGGGGAAAAAAAAGAGGGGGGGGGGGGCTGGGTTGTTCGCAGTATTATACATGTGGTAACAGCACTTCTCAAGCGCGACATGATCCTCTATATGTACTGTAGATCTTTAAGTACAAACAAAACTTAGTGCAAATAGGCGGGCAATGGCGGTATGAGGTCGCCAGAAGCCAGTGTTCCAAGGTCAAGCAGACCTCCACGCCCAGCTGCACAGCTATCAAAGAGTAAACGTCTAGCTGCAGGACCTCACCGACTGCCCTCTGGTGGGAAGATCTACATCACTGAGGCTCAGGGATCAGACCCACAGAAATTACTCTTCTTCGTCTTTTTCTAAAATGAGTACCAATGACAGCTCTGAGAATTAAATCAATGACGTGACACAAACTGCATCTGTGATAGATTGGTAATTAACCAATGACGTGACACAGACTGCATCTGTGATAGATTGGCAATTAACCAATGACGTGACACAGACTGCATCTGTGATAGATTGGTAATTAACCAATGACGTGACACAGACTGCATCTGTGTTAGGTTGGTAATTATTCAATGACGTGACACAGACTGCATCTGTGATAGGTTGGTAATTATTCAATGACGTGACACAGACTGCATCTGTGATAGGTTGGTAATTATTCAATGACGTGACGCAGACTGCATCTGTGATAGATTGGTAATTATTCAATGACGTGACGCAGACTGCATCTGCGATAGATTGGCAATTATTCAATGATGTGACATAGACTGCAACTGTGACGGTAATTATTCAATGACGTGACGCAGGCTGCATCTGTGATAGATTGGTAATTATTCAATGACGTGACATATACTGCATCTGTGATTGGTAATTATTCAATGATGTGACGCATACTGCACCTGTGATAGATTGGTAATTATTCAATGACGTGACGCAGACTGCATCTGCGATAGATTGGTAATTATTCAATGACGTGACATAGACTGCATCTGTGATTGGTAATTATTCAATGATGTGACGCATACTGCACCTGTGATAGATTGGTAATTATTCAATGACGTGACGCATACTGCATCTGTGATAGATTGGTAATTATTCAATGACGTGACGCATACTGCATCTGTGATAGATTGGTAATTAATCAACACAAGATACATTTGAAGGCGTGGACGTTGGTTCTGGACCGCACTAGGGTGGAATTCACTTGAGTGGACCCGACTGGTTCTGGACCGGACTGGGGTAGAATGAACATGAGTGGACCCGACTGGTTTTGGACCAGACTGGGGTGGAATGAACTTGAGTGGACCCGAGTGGTTCTGGACCGGGCTAGGTTTGAATGAACTTGAGTGGACCCGACTGGTTTTGGACCGGACTGGGGTGGAATGAACTTGAGTGGACCCGACTGGTTCTGGACCGGACTGGGTGGAATGAACTTGAGTGGACCCGACTGGTTCTGGATTGGACTGGGGTAGAATAAACTTGAGTGGACAAGACTGGTTCTGGACCGGACTGGGGTGGAATAAACTTGAGTGGACCCGACTGGTTCTGGACCGGACTGGGGTGGAATAAACTTTAGTGGACCCGACTGGTTCTGGACCGGACTGGAGCGGCTTAGACTGCAGTGACGTGGTACACGTAGTCTGCTGGCGGGTCAGTAGAAGGGCTGATAGAGTCCAGGCTGTGATAGCCGCGCATGTAAGGCCTGCAGTCCTACAGGTACTGATGATCACGTGACAATACAAACGTTTTGATCCTGTGAGACTTCCTGTGGTCGGTACGGCCAATGATCTTTCTTCTTGAACGTGCAGTATAGCACTGGTCATCTTGTGTGTTCACAACTTTTTCTCTAGTCAAATGTAAATTATATCTCCATCGTGTTCTCATCCTCCATCATGTTCTCATCCTCCAACATGTTCTCATCCTCTACCATGTTCTCATCCTCCACCATGTTCTCATCCTCCACCATGTTCCCATCCTCCACCATGTTCCCATCCTCTACCATGATCTCATCCTCTACCATGATCTCATCCTCTACCATGATCTCATCCTCCACCATGTTCTCATCCTCCACCATGTTCCCATCCTCCACCATGTTCCCATCCTCCACCATGTTCCGATCCTCCACCATGTTCTCATCCCCTACCATGTTCCCATCCTCCACCATGTTCCCATCCTCCAACATGTTCTCATCCTCCACCATGTTCCCATCCTCCAAAATGTTCCCATCCTCCACCATGTTCCCATCCTCCAACATGTTCTCATCCTCCATCATGTTCTCATCCTCCATCATGTTCGCATCCTCTACCATGTTCTCATCCTCCAACATGTTCTCATCCTCTACCATGTTCTCATCGTCCACCATGTTCTCATCGTCCACCATGTTCTCATCGTCCACCATGTTCTCATCCTCCACCATGTTCTTATCGTCCACCATGTTCTCATCGTCCATATTGTTCTCAACTTCCGCCATGTTCTCAGCGTGGACCATGTTATCATCGTCCACCATGTTCTAATCGTCCACCATGTTCTCATCGTCCACCATGTTCTCATCGTCCACCATGTTCTCATCGTCCACCATGTTCTCATCGTCCACCATGTTCTCAACTTCCGCCATGTTCTCATCCTCCACCATGTTCTCAGCTTCCACCATGTTATCATCGTCCACCTTGTTATCATCTTCCACCATGTTTTCATCCTCCACCATGTTCTCATCCTCCACCATGTTCTCATCCTCTACCATGTTCTCTACTCCGCTATCCTCTCATCCTCCGCTCTGTTCTCATCTTCTGCCATGTTCTAATCCTCCGCTCTGTTCTCATTCTCCGCCATGTTCGCATCCTCTACAATGCTTTCATCCTCCACCATGTTCTTATCGTCCACCATGTTCTCATCGTCCATCATGTTCTCATCGTCCACCATGTTCTCATCCTCTACCATGTTCTCTACTCCACCATGTTCTCTACTCCACCATGTTCTCATCTTTCACCATGTTCTCATCCTCCGCCATGTTCTCATCTTCCACCATGTTCTCATCTTCCACCATGTTCTCATCTTCCACCATGTTTTCATCCTCCACCATGTTCTTATCTTCCAGCATGTTCTCATCCTCCACCATGTTCTAATCCTCAAACATGTTCCCATCCTCCAACATGTTCTCATCCTCCAACATGTTCTCATCCTCCACCATGTTCTCATCCTCCACCATGTTCTCATCCTCCAACTTGTTCTCATCCTCCACCATGTTCTCAACCTCTAGCATGTTCTCATCCTCCACCATGTTTTAATCCTCTACCATGTTCTCATCCTCTACCATGTTCTCATCCTCTACCATGTTCTCATCCTCCACAATGTTCTCATCCTCTACCATGTTTTCTACTCCACCATGTTCTCATCCTCCACCATGTTCTCATCTTCCACCATGTTCTCATCTTCCACCATGTCCTCATCCTCCATGTTCTCATCTTCCACCATGTTCTCATCCTCCACCATGTTCTCATCTTCCATCATGTTCTTATCCTCTAGCATTTTCTCATCCTCCACCATGTTCTCATCCTCCACCATGTTCTTATCGTCCACCATGTTCTCATCGTCCACCATGTTCTCATCGTCCACCATGTTCTCATCGTCCACCATGTTCTCATCCTCTACCATATTCTCATCGTCCACCATGTTCTCATCCTCTACCATACTCTCATCGTCCACCATGTTCTCATCCTCTACCATATTCTCATCGTCCACCATGTTCTCATCGTCCAACATGTTCTCAACTTCCGCTATGTTCTCATCCTCCACCATATTCTCATCGTCCACCATGTTCTCATCGTCCAACATGTTCTCAACTTCCGCCATGTTATCATCGTCCACCATGTTATCATCGTCCACCATGTTATCATCGTCCACAATGTTCTCATCCTCCAACATTTTCTCATCCTCCACCATGTTCTCATCCTCCACCATGTTCTCATCCTCCACCATGTTCTCATCCTCCACCATGTTCTCATCCTCCACCATGTTTTAATCCTCTACCATGTTCTCATCCACTACCATGTTCTCATCCTCTACCATGTTCTCATCCTCCACAATGTTCTCATCCTCTACCATGTTTTCTACTCCACCATGTTCTCATCCTCCACCATGTTCTCATCTTCCACCATGTTCTCATCTTCCACCATGTCCTCATCCTCCATGTTCTCATCTTCCACCATGTTCTCATCCTCCACCATGTTCTCATCTTCCATCATGTTCTTATCCTCTAGCATTTTCTCATCCTCCACCATGTTCTCATCCTCCACCATGTTCTTATCGTCCACCATGTTCTCATCGTCCACCATGTTCTCATCGTCCACCATGTTCTCATCGTCCACCATGTTCTCATCCTCTACCATATTCTCATCGTCCACCATGTTCTCATCCTCTACCATACTCTCATCGTCCACCATGTTCTCATCCTCTACCATATTCTCATCGTCCACCATGTTCTCATCGTCCAACATGTTCTCAACTTCCGCCATGTTCTCATCCTCCACCATATTCTCATCGTCCACCATGTTCTCATCGTCCAACATGTTCTCAACTTCCGCCATGTTATCATCGTCCACTATGTTATCATCGTCCACCATGTTATCATCGTCCACAATGTTCTCATCCTCCAACATTTTCTCATCCTCCACCATGTTCTCATCCTCCACCATGTTCTCATCCTCCACCATGTTCTCATCCTCCACCATGTTCTCATCCTCCACCATGTTTTCATCCTCCACCATGTTCTCATCCTCCACCATGTTCTCATCCTCTACCATGTTCTCATCCTCCAACATTTTCTCATCCTCCACCATGTTCTCATCCTCCACCATGTTCTCATCCTCCACCATGTTCTCATCCTCTACCATGTTCTCACCCTCCACCATGTTCTCATTTTCCACCATGTTCTCATCCTCTACCATGTTCTCATCCTCTACCATGTTCTCTACTCCACCATGTTCTCATCCTCTACCATGTTCTCTACTCCGCTCTGTTCTCATCTTCCACTATGTTCCCATCCTCCGCCATGTTCTCATCTTCCACCATGTTCTCATCTTCCACCATTTTCTCATTCTCCACCATGTTCTCAACTTCCACCATGTTCTCATCCTCTAGCATGTTCTCATCCTCCACCATGTTCTCATCCTCTACCATGTTCTCATCCTCCAACATTTTCTCATCCTCCAACATTTTCTCATCCTCCACCATGTTCTCATCCTCCACCATGTTCTCATCCTCCACCATGTTCTCATCCTCTACCATGTTCTCACCCTCCACCATGTTCTCATTTTCCACCATGTTCTCATCCTCTACCATGTTCTCATCCTCTACCATGTTCTCTACTCCACCATGTTCTCATCCTCTACCATGTTCTCTACTCCGCTCTGTTCTCATCTTCCACTATGTTCCCATCCTCCGCCATGTTCTCATCTTCCACCATGTTCTCATCTTCCACCATTTTCTCATTCTCCACCATGTTCTCAACTTCCACCTTGTTCTCATCCTCTAGCATGTTCTCATCCTCCACCATGTTCTCATCCTCCACCATGTTCTTATCGTCCACCATGTTCTCATCGTCCACCATGTTCTCATCGTCCACCATGTTCTCATCCTCCACCATGTTCTCATCCTCCACCATGTTCTCATCGTCCAACATGTTCTCAACTTCCACCATGTTCTCATTGTCCACCATGATATCATCGTCCACCATGTTCGCATCCTCCACCATGTTCTCATCCTCCACCATGTTCTTATCCTCCACCATGTTCTTATCCTCCACCATGTTCTCATCCTCTACCATGTTATCTTCCCCGCTATGCTCTCATCCTCCGCTCTGTTCTCATATTCTGCCATGTTCTAATCCTCCGCTCTGTTCTCATCCTCCGCCATGTTCTCATCCTCCACAATGCTCTCATCCTCCACCATGTTCTCATCGTCCACCATGTTCTCATCCTTCACCATGTTCTCATCCTCAAACATGTTCCCATCCTTCACCATGTTCTCATCCTCCACCATGTTCTCATCCTCCAACATTTTCTCATCCTCCACCATGTTCTCATCCTCCACCATGTTCTCATCGTCCACCATGTTCTCATCGTCCAACATGTTCTCATTGTCCACCATGATATCATCGTCCACCATGTTCGCATCCTCCACCATGTTCTCATCCTCCACCATGTTCTTATCCTCCACCATGTTCTTATCCTCCACCATGTTCGCATCCTCTACCATGTTCTCTTCCCCGCTATGCTCTCATCCTCCGCTCTGTTCTCATCCTCCGCCATGTTCTCATCCTCCACAATGCTCTCATCCTCCACCATGTTCTCATCGTCCACCATGTTCTCATCGTCCACCATGTTCTCATCGTCCACCATGTTCTCATCCTCCACCATGTTCTCATCGTCCACCATGTTCTCATCCTCTACCATATTGTCATCGTCCACCATGTTCTCATCCTGCACCATGTTCTCATCCTCCACCATGTTCTCATCCTCCACCATGTTCTCATCCCCCATAATCTTCTAGACCCCTACCATGTTCTCGATCCCCATTATGATCTCATCCTCCACCATGTTCTCATCCTCCACCATGTTCTCATCCTCCACCATGTTCTCATCCTCCACCATGTTCTCATCCTCCACCATGTTTTCATCCACCACCATGTTCTCAACCACCACCATGTTCTCAACCTCCACCATGTTTTCGTTCGCTCGTTGGAAGAAAACAAAAATGACAAGCTTTGTCCTATTTTAACCGCCTGATGGCCTGTTTTTTCAAAGGACGGATTATTTGCTGTCTGATTTTAAGTTTGTTTCTTTTTTGGCGCTGATTTTCGCCTGAGTTTTAGTTCCTTGCTGTGTTGGTTTAAATGGGAGTGGATGTTACTGGTCCTGAAAAGGACTAGTAGTATATGCCTGGGGCGGCCTCAATCGGGTATAGGTGGGAGTGAGACTGGTTGTTTTTCAGTATGCCTGGCAGGTCTATATGGTTGGCAGTGCTTCCTCGCGTCAGTAAGCTGGCTTGTTCCACGGGAACTGGGTGTCATTGCGGCTTGGTAGTTTTTGATTGGCTGCGGGCTTTGTCATGTTACGGTGGGTTGTCTGGTTGATCAGAACTTGCGGTAACGTCGGTTTGGCGTACCCTGACTCCTTTGTTTCCATCTTAACTGGGCCAGCTGTTTTTGGGCTGCTTCCATCTCGTCATGGAGTCCGTTAATTTTTGTGTAGAAGGCTTGCTTTACCTCGGCGGGCAGAAAATCGTATTTCTCCCGCACCTCGTGATCATAAATGATGACATAGCGGTTCCTTTCGAGCTCAATCCTGTGAGGTTGTATCTGGTCGTTGATACCTTGTAGCATTTTTAGAAGGTCGGCCTCGCTTTCCACCTTACCGGCTGCCGCCTCTTTGCCTTCTTCAAAGGTTGTGGCCACATCTGCCGCTGGGGTCGCCTCTGTCACTTCGGATATGGTTACTCCATCTGACTGGATAGTGTTTTCCTCATCGGTATTTGTTTCTGTACTTTTGTCGGGCTTGCTGATGCTTGGTTTTACGGCTGGTGCCTTGCTTCTTTCTGCGAGTAGGAGTTCTCTTTCCTGCTTTGCTTCTCGGTTTGCAGCTTCTGCTTCTGCTGTTGTTTTGACTAGCAGGGCGACTTCTCTGTGTATGGATTCTCTGGCTTCGTTTAAAAAGCCGTCTCTTTCTTTCTTTCTTTCTTTCTTCTCGTTCGGTTAGCCGGTAGGCTGCTGCCTGGTCCTGATCTGTCTTCAGCTGTGTCAGAAGGCCTTGGAGTTTTTGGTTTGCTTCATTGATCTCTGCTAGCAGCTTGGTGTGTTGCGCAGCTTCTGCTATTCTGTCTCGTTTCTGGGCTTTGATTTCGTCGAGTGTTTGGGAGATTAGTCCCAGCATCTCGAATCTTTCAGCGGTGGCCTTCTCTTTGTCTGCTGTCAGCTTCTGGACTGCGGTTTTCAGTTCTGCCACTTCCTGGGTTGTCGCGTTGTTGTTTGTGACTGGGATCACCTTCTCTGTTCTTCTCTCTCGCATCGGTATTGCAGCTCGCAGTTTGCACTTTTTAAGGTAGGTGCAGCTCAGGTATCTGGCGCTATGGGGCCCTCCACAGTTTGAGCATCGTCTGCTGCTGTTAGGCTTTTTAAATTCAGCTGTACTGATCAGGCTGCTGTCGAAAGCTCGATCCCTGCAGAGTCGGCAAGGCTTGTTGAGTGCTCTGAAAAGAACACCAAGCGTGCTTTCTCCGCAGTTCACGAGACAATCGTTGGTATATGGTGCTAAAAACGGGCTGCTGAAACCCCACCCGCAACGCCGAATGTGCGATAACCAGTCAAGAGGGACTCAGCCGAATAGCAAGCGAATCAGTGTCAAGTATCTGGTTATCAAGAATCGGGCCACGAATGGAGAGTCAGCGATCGAGCGGAAGACGAGAGGTTCATACAAAAGGGCTGTCTGCGCTCGAATGATCATGTTCTCATTCTCCACCATGTTCTCATTCTCCACCACGTTCTCATTCTCCACCACGTTCTCATTCTCCACCATGTTCTCATTCTCCACCATGTTCTCATTCTCCACCATGTTCTCATCCTCCACCATGTTCTCACCCTCCACCATGCTCTCACCCTCCACCATGTTTTCATCCTCCACCATGTTTTCATCCTCCACCATGTTCTCATCCTCCACGATGTTCTCATCCTCCACCATGTTCTCATCCTCCACCATGTTCTCATCCTCCACCATGTTCTCATCCTCCACCATGTTCTCATCCTCCACCATGTTCTCATCCTCCACCATGTTCTCATCCTCCACCATGTTCTCATCCTCCACCATGTTCTCATCCTCCACCATGTTCTCATCCTCCACCATGTTCTCATCCTCCACCATGTTCTCATCCTCCACCATGTTCTCATCCTTCACCATGTTCTCATCCTCCACCATGTTCTCATTCTCCACCATGTTCTCATCCTCCACCATGTTCTCAACCTCTACCATGTTTTCATCCTCCACCATGTTCTCATCCTCCACCATGTTCTCATCCTCCACCATGTTTTCATCCTCCACCATGTTCTCATCCTCCACCATGTTCTCATCCTTCGTCTATAATCATCATCTCCCACATCTTGTTTCACTATTTGACTGAATGTCCATGATTGACCGTGACACATCAGGAGTGGTGCGCTTTCTCAATTCTCACAACGACAGAATATTCTTAACTTGGTTAATTGCTGCATTTGTTCGGGTTATTTAGCATTTGAATTTGTTACCTCTTCTTCCATGTGTCGTTACCAGGGTAGGTAAGTACTTGAACGGATTTATTTGCTTCAGAAACAGGCCATCAACTTTAGTGGTATTTGTTTGTACGGCCTTTCGTTTAAAGGCCAGTACTTGTGTCTCTCGCTGTTTAACCGACACAAGAAGTAGCCTATTGGGAAACTTCGGGCAGACAAGATCAGCCTTGACCTTCGCACTGCTCACCCCTCCGGTTTCTTAGACTGAAGAAGGGGAGACAAACTTTGCCACACAGATCCCCTGGCAGTGGTACTCCTTCCGTGGAACCAGTCAGCTCTCAGTGCTCGGGAGACTCGAACGTCACGACATGGGATTAGAGAGCTCAGACAGGTCTTTCACGGGAGTCTCAACCGAGCCAGGTATTCGTGTGAAATGTACTGATCTTCTACAAACAACAGCCTCCTAGACTTTTCCGTCCCGTGTGGGAATAGGCTGTGAACAGTCAATATAGCCTTGATTGACTGGCTTCTGACTCCTACCGGCCAGTGAACACATAGGAAGTGGATTGGGGGAACGGCCAGACCCAAAGATCAAACGGAGCAGTCCAGAAATAACATTCAGTGTCAGAAACGGAAACTACAACAGCAAACAGAAACTGTTTTTAGAAGCAAATTGGCAGCTATTTATAGCCTGGAGCAGCTACCTCAAATATTGGCTCGTGGAGCTGGTACATTCAGTACCAGTCCCTAGTTCAAGGTTTGTTGATCTGAAGCAGAACCTGAAACTGAGAGGCTCACCTGTTCACTTTTCGATTACCTAATTTGGGAAAGAAGAATAAACGGGCGGGGAGAGATAAAAGTTTGTAGAGCTGACGATGGAGAGATGTGGTGTGAGTGGGTAGAGGGGAGACTGGTATACCGTATAGGAATAGCGTGCCGATGATGAGAGAGTGTGGGGTAGGTGGACGACCAGGTGAGATAGCTGCTCAAACTAGAACATTTGCGTGGCTAAGGGATCTGCTTAGGAGATTATGAACGCTGATGTCGAAGAAACACTCGCAGATCAAATAAATATGCATGAGTTTAGATGTGAGTAATTGTGGCGAAGGGGAGTGGGCGACATGCACGAGGAGAGATATGTCTGCAATCATTGTGTTACTGCAGCTGTGTCTGCCACCATTGTGTTACTGCAGCCGTGTCTGCAAACATTGTGTTACTGCAGCCGTGTCTGCAAACATTATGTTACTACAGCAGTGTCTGCCGCCATTGTGTTACTGCAGCCGTGTCTGCAAACATTGTATTACTGCAGCCGTGTCTGCAAAACATTGTGTTACTGCAGCCGTGTCTGCAAACATTGTGTTACTGCAGCCGTGTCTGCAAACATTGTGTTACTGCAGCCGTGTCTGCAAACATTGTGTTACTGCAGCCGTGTCTGCAAACATTGTGTTACTACAGCAGTGTCTGCAACCATTATGTTACTACAGCAGTGTCTGCCACCATTATGTTACTGCAGCCGTGTCTGCAACCATTATGTTACTACAGCAGTGTCTGCAACCATTATGTTACTACAGCAGTGTCTGCCACCATTGTGTTACTGCAGCCGTGTCTGCAAACATTGTGTTACTACAGCAGTGTCTGCAACCATTATGTTACTACAGCAGTGTCTGCAACTATTGTGTTACTGCAGCCGTGTCTGCAAACATTGTGTTACTACAGCTGTGTCTGCAACCATTGTGTTACTACAGCCGTGTCTGCAACCATTGTGTTACTACAGCCGTGACCGCAACCATTGTGTTACTACAGCAGTGTCTGCAAACACTGTGTTACTACAGCCGTGCCTGCACCTTTATCTTACATTTCTAAAGACAGACTTGAGTTTCTATGGATGCGGCTTAAGTAAGAAAATTCTTCAACAGCAGCAGAGAACAACGGCTTTGAGAAGAGAATTAGTTTGAGATAAAATAATTTCTTTTAGGGAACACGGAACTGTTGTCATGGAGATATAAATATAAAAGCCAGCCTACAAAATCGGGTTAAGTTAGTTGCGTATCCTTCACAGGATATTGCAGAACCAACTCCAGCATTTTGTATACTGTTTTCTAAGCAAATTAACGCTTACTGGGCGATGCTTGTTAATACCACTGCCGAATCCAACAGAAGGCGTAAGGCCCGCAGCTG